AGAGAGAGAGAGAGAGAGAGAGAGAGAGAGAGAGAGAGAGAGAGTCGGGCATTTGCATATACGCATTTGCATACGCGTCGCGCAAAGAGACTTAAGGCTAGATGGATTTAAAGCTTGAGAATAATCGTCGAAAGTGGAACGGTTCCTGCTCTGTAATCCTATCGTCGACCGCGCGACGCCGCTCCTCGGTGAGATTATTGACATTGATACGCAAATGCATCTGTCCGCGCAATATCGGTCACCCGCGTCTGCATTCGAGTATCAGATGTTGCCATACTGCAAAGAGAATTGCCAAGCAAATCGCCTTTGTCATAGCACTTATAAAGTCACTCTTTTTTGCTTGCACAACGCTAGAATGCACACTCGTCGATCCGGCATTGCCTATTCGCGCAAATTAATTGTGAAATTGAATTAGATAATGGAATGATAATATGATATAAACCATCCTATTTATACGAAGTTATAAGAAGTTAAGAGACAAGTAGCGAATATTTGTTGTAGTACAATAATAAGAATAATATATTTTGATAGCGTAACATAGAAAATAATATTATTCAAAGTAAAAGACATATAGAAAACACATAACGTAGATTTAATAATAGAATTAGTTAGAAAATTATATTATTTAAAGTGAGAGATATATTGGATATCGAAAACGCACGACATAGATTTAATAATAAACTTTTAATAATCAGATTTTAAGATTAAAATTTCAAATTACGCAGCCAACCAATATTTAATCGAACAATAACGTTTGATATTTTTCAAGTATTCTGTATTTTACATGAAAGGGAAAATTAAATATTATAATAATTAAGTACATGTTATTATTAGAAGCCCATTGATTTTCCGGCATAAGGCACCATCTACCGTCGAAGCGTTCTCCAGCGAGTTTTTACCCTCTGTTGCAGACAAATCCACCCCCTGTACGGGGAGAAAGCCGGCCTTTTGGGTTACTGCGACACGGTCGGTAACACGGAGAATTTTCCACCAGCCCCCAACATCGTTGTCGAGGGTGGCAGAATCGAATTCGTGCGCCCCTCGCAAGATGGCACAACGACACCCCGAAGAAACACCATGTCCAGAGCTTCGCAGACCTTCAACGAACAGCAGGAGAAGTCCGATCCCGCCAAGGTTTGATACATTGATTAGATTGCACATTTTGCTGCTTTATTGTTTTAATGTTTCGACAAAAAAGAAAGTTTTGAAACAATTGCGATAAAATGTAACGAATAATCTACGGCGATAATTCTTATATTATCTCTACAAAATTATTCTCTGTATCGTCTAACAATAAGTCTAAATTATTCATTATTTTGGTGCTTTTACTTTTAATATTCTCGTAAATTGTTGATTATCTTTATAAGACTTAATTATGTCTCTCTCGAGTGATCGAAGGTTCCTCGAGCGCAAGAGGCAGAAATTTTTAAGCCCTAATCACGAGCGTCGGGTCGAGCCGTAACAAGATTTGTCGGCGGCGATTTCTGTGTCCTGACAAATCAAATCTGTCCGACTCTTTGCGTCGGCTCTCTCTCTCTCCTGAAATACCCTTCTCACGTTCGCGTTCGATCTCGTGTCGTTCAACGCTCCGGTCACCGGTCGCGGACTCGCGGCTAACCCTTTACACCCTTCATGTTGTATTCATTCGACGTAATTGATTTCCTCGACAGACGGGGGTGACGTAGAATCTCCATAGTAAATTGGATCGCATCTTCTCTCTCTCTCTCTCTCTCTCTCTCTCTCTCTCTCTCTCTCTCTCTCTCTCTCTCTCTCTCTCTCTCTCTCTCTCTCACTCTCTCGTTTGTCGTTAGGACATGAAAGAGAGGAGGATATTCGCTGTACGCGCCAATACGGCGATTACTTCGAAATTAACGATGTTTCGCGTGCTGCGTAACGTCGACAACGACGAGGACGACGACGGTAGACCTAACGAGTTAATGAAATTCATTTAACCCTCCTCTTACGCGCGCACAGTGACTTTATAAGGCACGACAGATATTAAACTCTTTTAACGTCACGTGCAATCGCATTTGCATGCGTTCAATCGAGGCTTTTCCTTTTCTTTCTTCTTCTCAACAATGACAATAAGAATGTTTAAGCTATGAGAATCTTTTCGTGTTATTGAGTTTGAAGTGATCAATAGAACTTTTGCCGGATAAAGTTTGCTAGCATAAAAAGTGACAGGTATAAAGTACCCTTATTTCTTCTTTTATTAAATATTTTTTGTCATACGATATAACGATGAAAAGTAATTTGCGCGCAGAAATTTAAACGGTTTCGAGTCCATGAAATAAATTTTATTTGTGGATACATTAAACAATCTTCACGCACAGTTAACTTACCGTTATTGCATATAGAACTTCGCGTTCCAGTTCAATCGCCACGAAATACAATTTGCGTTTGAAACGCAATGTGCTTCCCTGAAAAATTGCTGAATGTAACAATTTTTATTTGTGATTTAATTTGCTCGATTTTGATTACCTCCTGACTGAAGCTTTTGACCAGAAATATTACCTCGCAAATTATCAGACACGAGACTCACCTTGATTGAGATTGATTTAAATTAAAAGTTTAACAATTTTCCGGGGTGTACATATTCTACATTAACGTGAAATTTGGAATAGTTTAATAGTATTTTTTTCAATGTTCATATCGAAAAGACGTTATATATTGCCAGTCACGGTCGATTTAAATTACTTTAATTGTTATTCTATATACTGGCGAAAGAAATTTATTATTCTGTTTATTATACACCGTCGACCTAGTAATCGGTGCTCCATCTTATAGTTGTTATTGCGATGAATATTACTACAGCCTCAGTGGTCGAATTGGCACGACGCCCGCACGGTATACGGGAGGTTCCAGGTTCAAACCCTGGCTGGGGTAATATTTTTCGCAATAAAATTTAAAAACTATTTCCTTTCTAAAATTCGTTTTTAGCAGATTTTATATATAAAAATCAATAAATGTATAAAGTAAAGGTTTTTACGTCTTTAATTATATAAGTAAATTATGTCCTCATCAGCATTAATAAAGTGCGGTGTTTAATTTTCGAGAAATAAGAAGGCGTCGCTTTAGAGGACCTATGTCGATATTAGCGACTTACCTCTTCACTTCTAATAAAAATATAAAAAATGTATGGTTGTATATTCGTGAAACAAAATAAACGCGCGCGCGTAGCGCGCGCCTGTGTTGTTCCATTCGCGAAATAAAATAAAAGCGCGCGCGTAGCGCGCGCCTGTGTTGTTCTAGTTTCCTTTCTAAAAAAAGGCATGTTAAATCGATACTCGCATCTCTCGAAGTCTTCTCGAAAGTCTCGAATTGCTTTGTTGGCTCTTTTCCGCGATGCTGATTGATTCTGTTGCTGCGCTAACTTCGTGAGCGGCTGTCATAGCATATTTTGACAGTTGTGTGTAATATTAAAGCTAAATAGCGCGCGCGAAGCGCGCGTCTGTGATGTCTAGTAATTTAGAAATTACATCAACTGACCAAAACCATGGTCAAAATTAATAATGTCTCGATGATTGATCCGGAAAAAAAGTGCTGTGTGAATCCGACAAACCAAGTTGGCTCACAGTTTTTCAATGTTCATATCGAAAAGACGTTATATATTGCCAGTCACGGTCGATTTAAATTACTTTAATTGTTATTCTATATACTGGCGAAAGAAATTTATTATTCTGTTTAATAGTATTTATTGGAAAAAATCTTACGCTTTTTACCCTTTTATTTGCATTAATCTTATAAAGTATTTTACATATTACGCGATAACGTACCGTAGGATAAGCTCCGAGAAAATTCTTCAGATTAATGATTTTTTCGGATCCACCTTTGGTTAGTGACATAGCAGCTTTTATCTTGAAACATTTTTTTTTCGAATAAGAACATTTAATTATATAGACATTATTCCATGAATTACGATTCAGAGGCTAAGTGATGGAAATATCTGTACACGAAATTTGATGACTTATATATCTCTTTACAAATATCTCTTTCAGTAGATCTACAAGATCACGTTGCCTCGCGATCGGAGCGATGCAGATGTATTCAACGTCCGATTAATGTGTCGAGATAGCCCTATATTATCTGCGTTTTCATTCCGCACGCCCGACATTAATTATTGCGTTAAACGTCATGTGTCCGCAGAACTCGTTACGTCAATTTTATCGTACGACTTATTAACGAAGCGGCGTAACGTTTTCCGACAGGCGCACAAAAGCGCGCGCGTTATTCATTCGGACAGCCGTGGAAGGTTTCCGACAATGCCGGCGGCCTTGAATGAGAGCTCGCCGAAAGAAGTTGTAGGAGCTATCAGTTATTGTGTCCGTTCCGCGTTTTCGACGATGAGCGGAGAGTTTTGGCTCGGCAACTTTTCCCATCCGACTACATCGATCTCACCGCGAACTCTTTCGACTCTTCGGGGATCGATTTCGTTAAATTATCCGTAACTGGATTAACCAGAACTTGTTTTCGTTACAGATAAAGAAAGCAGTTAACACGTTAAAAATCACAAAGGTTTAATTTGAAAATTTTATGGTACGGTTATAATTCAAATTCTAATTTTAATTTGTGGTCGCTAGTCTCGTCACTGTTTGTTAAAGATACGATTAATTACGCTTTCACTGTTTGATCAAGATCGACACATTGACCTTCTTGACGGCGCAGAAAGATTAATTGGATTGGAAGAGTGGCGCCCGCCCTCAAAATTCGACAACTCGATTATGCAAATTTACGCGAGCAGCGTCGTCGACGCGGTTTCAAATTGGATCTCGGCTACGGGGATTTACGACACCTCGCTACTTTTGCCGAGATAATATTTTCGTCGCGGACAAAAATATTAACTTTCAATTTGCATCATAATACCGTTCGAAACAGGTTCGAATAATGAGCGGGACACCCGGTGAAAGGGTAAAAGTCGAAAAGTCGCGGCTTCGTCCGTGCGCGCGGCTCAACACGCGGGAGGTTCGCGTAGTCAGGTTAATATGCTAATTGCTGCATTCAAACAGCGGAACTAATTGAATTAAGCGATGCAAAAAGTTTCCGCCTCAAAATTAGCATGAATTAGAGGAGCCGCGCTAGCTTACAGTCTTATCACGGTGGACAGCCATTCAGAGCGCGTACTGTCGACTCGCTCGGAAGCCATTTCACCGTAAAAATAATCATCTCCCTTTGCCATTCGAGAGCGACAGGAAGTGTTTCCGCACAGTTTCTATACATTAATTCCACGAACCCTGGCATCTCTTGCGAGCGAAGTTTCAAACTGGAATTCCATTAAAAATTTCTTTCAGTATTAATTTAGTAATCAGGACGGTAAGTTGTCTGCTAAAAATTTATTTTATAGTCTTTCAATTTCGTTTTTCTCCCGTATGCTTTTCTCCATCGTCGAATATACTCGAGAATCTCTCACGACTTGGCGAGAGATTCGACGACGACAAGTTTCGCTGATATGACATGCGTGACAAGCACCACGTCGAAGAAGATGGAAAAACGCGTCTCTCCCCTGTACCTATATTACCTTGGCACATTGTATGCGCGAGATCGGCGGGAAAAAGCCGCCTAGATGCCTGTATTCGGTGAAAATGATGGCGGGATTGGCAGGCCGGATCGACTCGACGCGGCGTCCCGTGAAACGAGAGGGATACACCGCGGCGATACGCGCGTCGTGTCAGGACACGCGTACGTTCTCTCCCTTCTGAAAACGCGCGGTTTTCCGTCGTGACGGACAGTCCCATATTGTATCCACCGCGGACGCGCGCTTTGAACGACAGCGACAATAGTAGTAGGCGTTGCCGGTTGCCGATACGCGAGAGCCGGCTCGTTTCGAGCCGACGAACGTGCCGAATAAAGGCCGGAATTTCGGCTGACGAGCACCGTCCGTGACTACTTCGCAGGGCCGCAACTGTCGTACGTCGAGACCACGCAGAAAATCCGATATTCGTGCTCCCTTTCCTCCGTGTTTTTTTTCCCCCCGAAAGGAACTGAAGACAGAGAAGAAAGGAATTTTTTAATTAAAATTTTATTTAAATATTGATTTAAATGTTGCAATTATTATAGATGCCTTGCAAAAAGGGGATACAAAATTTGGAATAGGATCGAGATTTTTGTCCCTTGCGAACAAGAGATAAAAGAAAAGA